CCGAGGCGAGCGCCGCCGCCGCCGCCGCCGCGACGGCGCGCCCCGTCCTCGTCCGACGAGGCGCGGCCTATAACCCCGCCAGCGACCTCTCTTTTTGCGGCGGACGGTCCAGCGCGTGATGCTTGCTTTTCCACATGTGCAGTTCGGTCGGGCAGGTCCCTCTACAGGCGAAGTTTTGATGACAAAACAAGAATAGTCAAAAGTATGCAAGAAGATTCAAAAAGTAGTACCAAAGATCGTCCCCATATTGTTGTTGGACTATTTTTGAATATTCCTCCTGTAGAGGGACATGCCCGACTTAAATTTGCAGCTAGGTAAAGTCCGCTGCCCCATCGACGGCCGACACGTTGGCGTCCCACTCCGGGGCAGTCCGTGCCCTGCCTCGGCGCGAGTCGCCTCCCGTGCCGCGCTACCCGCCGCCCACTCGTCGACTACACGCAAGAGTGGCCCTTCGCCAGAGTGACCTTTGTGGTGCGGGCTCATCGGGGCCCCAACCGATCGCTGCGTGCGATGCGATACCGGCTGCCTGCGCACTTGGACTTGGCCACTCTGCGCCCCCTTCGCCCGCGCACCAGCACTCTGCCCAGGGTCACTCTTGCGTGTACAGTCGGGGCCCTGAAGAAGGAGCCCTTTTCGTTGGGGAGGGGCTTCGTGTTCCTTGATTGCTTCACAGTTAGCCTTAGGTTTTCCTTTGGTTTTCGATGGGAAATCGAAGTTTAACTTATGGGACAAAAGGGGCCTCGTTCCTTATTTGGGGTTCCTTAGGTCAACGCCCCGACTGTAGCCGGACTCTTCTCGGCTGAGCTGTGCGTTTCGGAGACGCGCGTCGCCGCCGGGAGCACTGTCGCTGTCACTCCTGACGGCAGCCGCGGACACAGGAGCAGGATCCAGCGGCCATCCTTCAGGGGGGCGGGGGGCACAGGGCTCCTGCGGCCCTCGGACGGCAAGCTCGGTGTCGGAACGAAGCCCGAGCTGGTTTGGAGCTCTCGGTCCTCGGCGGCGCAGCCGCCCCCCTCCCCGGCGGCGTTTCGCCACCCAGCAACTGGGCGCGAAATGGAGTCGGGGCGCTGAAGAAGGAACCCTGTTCGTTGGGGAGGGGCTCGGTGTTCCTAGATTGTTTTACAGTTTGCCTTGGATTTTCCTTAGGTTTTCAATGGTACACCGAAGTTTCACTTATGGAAAACAGGGGCCTCGTTCCTTATTTAGGGTTCCTTAGGTCAACGCCCCGACTGTAGCGTGGGGCGATGACTGGATCGGGGAAACGTAAGACTCGAGTAAGCCGGAACTCGGGCTTGCCGAAGGTTTTTGGCGAGCGCGTCCTGGATGTTGGCAGTCCGGTTTTCGTGGGATGTCTGCAGCGGGAGCCCGCGTCAAGTTTGAGATTGGGTCTCGTCATTTTCTATGATGGCCCCCGTCAGGCCAACCCGAGTCCCCCGTGCCCGAGAGTCTTGCGTCTCCCCGACGGGATGGGCGGGGGACAATTGGAGGGGGGCGATAACTGGAGGGAGGGGGGGGCGATACCTGGAGAGGGGGGGGGGCGAGAAAGGTGCCCCTTTCGGGCCCCAAAGGCCACCCCTCTTGGGCCACAGAGGGGCCCCTTGGGGGGCCCCAAAGTGGCCCCGTCTCTCTGCAGCCCTCGCTGCCCAATCCCGCCCCCACATGGATCGCCCTCCCCCCCCATCACTTCGCGCCCAAGGCGGGGCATCAAACTGGTAGCCAAATCTTGGGCGGGGGGGGGAGGGGAGGAGGGCGGAGGGAGCGGGCCTACCGAGCGGAGCAGCAGAGCGGAGGCCCCAGACGACGACGTCGCACTTGCTGGCAGCTGCCCGCCTCTCCCCAGATCGCCACGAGCGCCGCGACGAAGCCGCAAGAGAATGCGAGGAGGAGGAGGCCTTCAGATGCGCGGGGTCATGCGCGGAGAAGGTGCCGGAGAGTGCGAGGATGCCTGCTGCAAAGTGTATTCCTTCTCCATTCTGTCAAGCCGCGCCTGATCAGGCTCCGCGGGGCAGAAAACAAATAGCACGGGGAGGAGAGGCGCAGCCCTCGCCAATCGGGATGATCCGCGATGGGTGCGGGTACACTGGGGACAGAGACCGACAGCATGTCCTGCTCATTTTGAGCAGGACTCTCTGCCAGTGCCGCCGCGGACGATGTCCATTTCAGGCAGAGGGCCGCCTGCCAGACAGCGGCCTCTGTCGGTTTTGTACAACCCTTGTCATTTGGTATTGTACCTATTTTCTCCGTACCCGCTTTGGGCGTCCGAACCTAATCCTCCTCCTCCTCCTCCTCCTCCTCCTCCTCCTCTGACAGGGCCCACTACTGGGCCCTTCAGGCCCGCGCCGTAGGTGTCGTCGTCGTCGTTCGGCCGGTTGATGTTGCCTGTCTGGGCATAGCCGACGGTGCGGCTGGTGATCCAGCTGGTGTTGCCAGCCTGGGCGCGGCGGTGCCCAGGTAGAGCGCGTCGGTACGTTTCTGCAGGTCGTCTAGGTTGAATTTTCTCCTCGATCGTGCCCTGGATGGTGTCGCCGTAGTCGTCACCCTTATCCTCCTCCTCCTCCTTTTTCTCCTCCTCCTCCTCCTCCTCCTCCTCCTCGCTGTCGTAGTCGAAGGCCAAATCGATAGTGTAGGCGCGCGTGCGCGCCCCTGGCGAGCCGACTGGCCCGCCATGGCCAGGGCCACGGCTGGAGGTGCAGCAGGAGGAGGAGGAGGAGGAGGAGGAGGAGGCAGTGGAGGCGGATGAGGAGAAGGCGGAGGAGGAGGAGGAGGAGGAGGAGGAGGCGGAGGCGGAGGAGGAGGAGGAGGAGGCGGAGGCAAGAAGGAGGAGAAGAAGAGGAGGAGGCGGAGGAGGAGGAGAGAAGAGGCAAAAGAGGAGGAGGAGGAGCAAGAGGAGGCGGAGGAGGTGGAGGAGGCGGAGGAGGATGAGTAGGGAGGAAGAGGCAGGAGGAGAGGAGGCGGAGGAGGGAGGAGGCGGAGGAGGCGGAGGAGGCGGAGGGGGGAAGACGGAGGAGGAGGAGGCGGAGAGGGGGAGGAGGAGGCAGAGGAGGAGAAGTAGGAGGAGGAGGAGGAGGAGGGAGGAGACGAGGAGACGGAGGAGAGAGGCAGCACGAGGAGGAGAGGAGGAGGAGGAGGAGGGGGAGGAGGAGGAGGAGGAGGAGGAGGAGGAGGCGGAGGAGGAGGAAGGAGGAGGAGGAGGAGGAGGAGGGAGCGGAGGCAGGAGGAGGAGGAGGAGGCGAGGGGGAGCACGAGGGGCTTCGTCACTGGGGCCCGGCCCGAACCGTAGGCCCCGCCGCGGGGCGCCATCCGCTCCCGCCGCTGGCGCCCCGCACCCAGGGCGACGAGCCCGAGCACGAGCCGCGCTGTCAGCAGGGCGTGCAGGCGCCGGCCTGCTGCGGTCGTCGCCGCCGCCACCGTCGTGGTCGGCGTCGGGCCGTGTCGTTCTCGTCGTCATCCTCGTCGCCATCCTCGTCGTGCTCCTTGTCGTGGCCCTTGTCGTCGGCGTCGTGGTCATCATCAGCCTCCTCCTCCTCCTCCTCCTCCTCCTCATCTTCCTCCTCCCGTTCATTGTCGTGGCCCTTGTCGTCGGCGTCGTCGTTGTCCCTGGCATCGGCGTTGTCGTCATCATCAGCCTCCTCCTCCCTCGCCTGCTCCTCCCTCTCGTCCTCCATTGCCTCCTCCATTTTCTCCGCCATTTCCTCCTCCATTTTCTCCTTCATTTCCTCCTCCTCCTCCTCCTCCTCCTCCTCCTCCTCCTCCTCCTCCTCCCCATCGGAATGATGGCTTTTCACTTTGAGCGGTAACCCCGCTGTCGGATTTGTGGGTCGGCCCCTCTCCTCTCCTGCCTTCCCTCCTTCGTCTTCCCGAGGATCGATGCTGAGGAGGGGGTCGCGCTTCGAGCTTTTCGGTTCGCGAGGCGTGAGAGGAAAATGCGTGCGGCCGCTGTTAACGCTCTCTGTCGCTTTGCCTGCTACAGCATACTGAAATATATGAACTCACAGTTCTAAGGAATGCAGCCGCATTCATAGGCGAGCTGAGACCATCAATTACCAACATTTGAATCAGGCCCAATCACCACTCCATACCTATACTCTCCTCCTCCTCCTCCTCCTCCTCCTCCTCCTCCTCCTCCTCCCTGTCCCCCCGCTTCTCTCTTTTCTTCTGCTTCCATTCCTCCTCCTCCTCTGCCTCCTCATCCGCCATGTAGTAATTCGGCGGGGTAAGGAAGAAAGGATGAAGGCGGGAAAGACGCGCGGGTGGAGGGAGGGGAGAGAGGAGAAGGAGGAGTGACGGGAGGCAGGAGGAGGGGAGGAGAAGAGAGGGGGAGAACGGAAAAGGTTTGGAGGAGGAGGAGAAGGCCTGCAGTTGCTGATCTCCCTCAACGAGGGTGTAGGTGTAGCGCGCGGGCGCCAGCATGCGGCTTCGGTGGCTACCAGCGTGTGCTGCGACTAAAGATCAGACACCGCGCTCGCCCAGAGGTGGTAGGGCATTTTGCTTGACCATGTGCAGCCTCTGGGGGGCGTGTCGGGCGTGGACGTGGGTTGTCCATCTCCTCGCCCGGCGAACTTCGGCGTGCACAGCAGGATCTGCTTGGAGGAGCTGGCCGGCGTGGGCAGCTGATATGCTGAGGTGGCGGCTTGTGGCTTGTGACCCTCGTGAGGTCGGCCACACCCCAGGCGAGAACCATCCGCATCGACCGGCCTTGAGCCGTGAACCAAGTCGGTGTGTGCCTGGAAGGAGCTACGGCGATAGCGACTTGGAGCAGGAACCAAGCTCGCCACTTCAGCGCCCAGTTTGCGTGCCCCCCATAAAGGGCCTACGTGGTGCGCGCCTGGGATTATCGGCATCTTACAATGGCTGCGCTTCAGGTGGAGACTGCACGGGCGGCCAGTCACTGGCCTTCGAGCGCCCCGTACAGGAGGAGAAGGACGGCGACGAGGGGCAGGAGGAGGGGGGGGAGAACGAGGGAGTTGATACGGGGAGGAGGAGGGGGAAAATAAGAGGGCAGAGAGGGCGGAAGGAGGGATGGGGGGAATAGGAATTGGGGGAAGGAGCGCACAGGGGTGGTAAGAGACCCCAGGAAAGGGGGAACATCCGGGCAAGGAGAGGAAAGGGAGGGAGGAGCGGCAGCCCCGGGAGACGACGAGGAAACAACAATGAGCATTTGAGCATGCAGGGCGAAGAGCATGGATCGGGAGGATGAGTGGAAGGGACTGGCGAGGATGACAAGCGAAAGGGACCAGTGTGAGAATTTGGACGCAACTGAGATCGACGAGGAGGAATAGGAGGAGGAGGAGGAGAGGAGGAGGAGGAGGAGGAGGTGGAGGAGGAGGAGGAGGATGGTAGGAGAGGGAAGTAGGCGAGTAGGAGAGCAGGAGGAGGAGAGGAGGAGGAGGAGGAGGAGGAGGCGGAGGAGGATGCGAAGGATGAGTAGAAGGGGGAGGAGGTGGAGGAGGAGGAGGGGAGGAGTAGGAGGAGGGGAGGAGTAGGAGAAGAAACAGGAGGAGGAAGAGAAACAGAGGTAGGAGGAGAAAGAGGACCAGGGTCTTCGCATCAATGTTCTTACACTAGAACCCTTCCGGTCCGAAGTCCCTCCTCAAGCCTGCATTGCGAGATGAGCGCCCCATTGGCTTGCCATTCAGACGAGAGCCCTGGTTCGGAAAGGAGCTACCCGCTTAACTACGTGTTCAACTTCACGGAACGCAAAGCTTACGTAGATCCCGATGCCTCAAGGGGGGGCCCAGCAAGGCAACGTTTCCCAACAGGTTCCCCTTGCGCCCGTGCAGCTGTCGCACATGCCCAGGCTTGTTTTCACACATCCAGGGCGGGGCACAAGAGAGCAGGAGTCGACTTCCACACGCGCAAGTGCTGCGCACGGGAGCGCGACACCCATGACGCCAGATGCAGTCTTGGGCGAGAGCTCGATTTTGAGGAGGCGCAGCCCTCCATCCGCCTAGTGCTCGCCGGGCTCTTGAGACGAACGTGTCCTCCCGCCTGTTCCCATCCCTGCTCTCCGCCAGCTAGATCCTTCTCCCCCCGCTTCTACTGATTGATATTTATTATATGGATTATTATGACAATTATTATTATTCTTATTATTCTTCTTAGACGTACGACGGCTCGCACAAGCAATTCTTGACGCTTCGCACGTACCCACCCGCCTTGTCAATTAGTAGGCCCACGCCCCGGACTTACGACTCGCCGCTTGCGCTCTCGCCTGCGGCCGCGACACAAAAAAAAACGTCCCCACCAGCCTTTCCCATGTTCGTGTTGCAGTACACCTGGACGATCTTCCTGGTGTGCGCCCTCATCTGAGCGGCAGCGAGGCTCGCCTCCTGTTTGTTCCTCTCCCCGCTTTCTCTTTTCTCTGTTCGCTCCTCTTTCACCCTGCGCGCATAATTCTGGCCGTTGCTCGTGTGCTACGCTCCTGGACGCCGTCCGATTTTTTTTTCGACGCGGTCGCGATCAAACAAGTATCCCCACCAGCCTTTTTGAGAAACAGTTTGGACGTACGCACTTCACCCACAAACAATCTGCATGAAGTGTTCCAAGCTTGAGGACACAACGTTCCAGGCCAGCTTTCCCCTGCGGGCTGGTCCCCCACTGCAGATTTGATTTCCACTGCAGATTGGGTTTCCTCCTGCGGCTCTCCTGGAGCTTGTTAGGGGCCCTCTTGGGAGCCCTCTGAAACCCATCCTGGGCGTCTCTTAGGGGCCCGTTGCGACGGTCGCAGACGTCTCTGGGAGTCTTCGGGGCTCTCTCGGAACCTTTAAGGGGACCTCCTGGGGAGGTCCCTGAGGGCCATCTTGGGCCTCTCTCGGGCCGGACGAAAGGGGGGGATTGGGAAAGGGGGGGTACGAAATCTGCTCAGCTGGTTTCGGCCCCGCCGCCGGGTCCATTTCTCGATACATGGGCGCCTGCGGCGGTGGGAGGCGCCGGGAAAATCAGTTACGCGAGTTGGTTCTTAACCCCCCCCTTGCTATCCCCCCCTTTCGCCAGGCCCGACTCTCTTGGGTACCGTTGGGTCGGTTTGAGATGTCCATTGAGGTCGTCGGGGCCCAAGAACTCAAAAAGGAAGAGGGGGTCGGAAATTCCCCTCGCCCCCTCGGAGCCTCCAGAATAGCCTCTCATAGCCCTCTTGGGCCGCTCTTGGAAGTGTCTGGGGCGCTCTTGAAGCCGTCTTGGGGCCGTCTTGGGCCCGCCTTGTGACTCTCTACGGCCTTCTCGGGGCCATCCTGAAACCCGAGAAGCCCATCGGAAGCAAAACAGGCAGAAGCCACACCATATTGATTTCTATAGTTGTTGAAGGAGTTTGGGCCTCTCCCAGAGGACTGGTGGGATTGAACGGCAGTGCTTCGCTTTTGGGGCGTAGCCCGAAATTGTTTTTCGTGGGGTGGTCTCGCTGGCTGGCTGGCTGACTGACTGGTCGCACGGTTAGGAGACCGTCACCCTGTCGGACACCGAGTGCGAACCCTATGGCGCAATCAGCAGCATGTTGCCATGTTTTCGGCCGCCGAGTGCGCAACCTATGGCGCATCCCATTGCTTGTGCAACTCCTTGAGCGTGCAACCCAAGGATTGCGCCATTCTACGGCGCGACCCATGGCCCATGGCGTCATCCGTGGCGCAACGACTGTTAAACACCATGACACAAGCCATCGCTGGCAAGCCGTGGCGCAACCGATGACTCATGGAAATATCTGTGGTGAAACATATGACGCAGCCTATTGCGCAACCCGTGGCGGAGTCCACGGTGAAGCCTATGCCGCCATTCATGTTGCAACCACACGCGCGAGCTATATCGAAATTCGAGTTTCGTTGGCACGGGGGTGTCCACAAGGCTCATAGCTTCTATGGGGCTGCGCCCGATTCTCGATATTTGAGCTCATGGCGGGGTCTGCACGGCGAACTGTTTTCCGCACGGTTCGTGCAATCTCGAGCCGTTTGCCGTGTGTGTGTGTGTGTGTGTGTGTGGGTGTGTGTGGGTGTGTGTGGGTGTGTGTGGGTGTGCGTGCGTGTGTGTGTGTGTGTGTGTTTGTGTGTGTGTGTGTGTTCCTCTTCCCTCTCGCCCTTTCCCGCCCCTTTCCTCCCCTCCCCTCCTCATCCTCCATCCTCCACGTCCACCTCTGCCAGCCCCATCTCTTCTTCCTCCTTCATGCTCCTCCTCTTCCTCATCATCACACCTCCTGCCTCTGACCCTCCCCACCCTGCCCACCCCTCATTTCCCTCTGTCCTCCTCCCCCTCCCCTCCCTTCTGCTCGCGTTTGATAGGGGGGCCAGGAGGACGGAGAAGGAGCAAGAGGAGGAGGAGGAGGAGGAGGAGGAGGAGGAGGAGGAGGAGGAGGAGGAGGAGGAAGTGTATGAGGATGGGGGTGAGTAGATAAAAGGGGAAGGAGGAGGAGGAGGAACAGGAGGAGGAGGAGGAGGAGGAGGAGGAGGAGGAGAGCTGCTTGTCCTTATCTTGCCCCCCCCCCCTCTCCCGCCAGAGCCAGGCCCTACTGGCCAGCGGCCCTGTTGTTGGCTGCCTGAGCGGGTGGCAGATCGCATGCTTCATCGGCGCCGGGAAAGCGGTGCCGCCCTGGGAGGGGGGGGGTCAACCCGGAGGAGGAGGAGGAGGAGGAGGAGGAGGAGGAGGAGGAGGAGGACGAGGACGAGGACGAGGAGCAGGAGGACGAGGAGCAGGAGGCCGACGGAAATGAGGAGAAGGTTGCGGGAGAGGAGAATACGGATGAGCCGAGCCAGGGGAGAGGAGGGTGAGGAGGAGGACGAGGAGGAGGAAGGGGGAGGAGGAGAGAGGAAGGTTGGGAGAGGAGAATGTATTAGTGAGGAGGAGGAAGAAGAAGAAGAGGAGCAGCAGCAGCACCAGCTGGCTGGATGAGAAAGAGCATCATGAGGAGAAGGAGGAAGAGGAGGAGGATTTAAAGGAGGACGGAGGAGGAGGAGATGGGATAGGACGTGGATATGGAGGGAAGAAGAGCAGGGTAATGAGGAACAGGAAGATGAGTTGAGTTCGGTTTTTACTTTGCACCGGGTCCCATTCATTTTCCATTCTAGCCATTCCAGACTTGGCGAGTATGCTGAATCCGAAGACCAATAAAGAGGAACATAGCCAGTATTGGAGTTGGTTTGTGATGTGCACGCGTGGTAGCTTTTGCACATGTGATCATTGAGCGCGCACTGCATCCAGAGTTGTGGCAGCGAAGACTATCAGTTCGGGATTTGTCTTATTTGCGATGGTCGTCAGGCGGCAGGATATATAGCACTAGGACATGCGTGTCCAATTGCGGTAATCGATAGCTTGTTGTTGTCACTGTTTCATGCTCTGAAGCTGAAGTCGCCCTGCCGATGAACAGGGGAATCTTCACCCGAGCTGCGGTGTTGGGAGCAGCTGCGCTCTCTCAGCCCTGGGATGCGGCATCGTATGCTGAATCGGATGGAATTTTGGGTGGTTCGCGCCGCCCATCCAGAAACGATGCCCAGGCGAGGTGCATTACCAGAGACGTGTGAGAGCATGTAGAGAGGGCAGCCGTGCAATCAAAGATCAGGATCAGCCTGAGCAGGCCCAAGAGTCACCCAGAAATGTCTTCGCGGAGCCTTCAAGCTTAGAGCCGCTTGGCAGCTTACTCGGCCATCTTGGGGCCCTCGTGGAGCCATTTGGGAAGTCTTTTGGGCTTTCTTGGGGCCCTGTCGGGGCCCTCTTGGGACCCTCTTGGGGGCCTCTGGGGCCTTCTTGTGATCATCTGTCGGTGCTCCCTTGGGGATCTCTGAGGGGGCCTTTGGGCTCTCTTGGGCTGATCTTGGATGCAGTTGCTGACATAATGAAGATTATAGATGACTGATCGAGGCCGGAACATCTTCTCTTGGAGCTCTATTGCGGCGTCTTGGGGGCCGTTTTGGGGCCATCTTTGGCCCCCATGGGGCTCTCTTGGGAAGTCTTGGAACGTATGAAGGCCTCGAAAGCCAGTCAGGAGCAGAAGCGCGAAAAGTCTACAAACGTTTACGCACTTTCTTTAGGGCATCCTTGGGAGGAGCCGTGGCCAATTGAAATCGTACTGCGGCCGCCTTGGGGTATGTTGGAGGCATGTTGGGAGCTATCTCGAGCCATCCTGGTCTAGAGTGCGCCATCTTGGTAACATGCATGTGTTCTGCCCCCCTCGTCCTCGTCCTCGTCGACGTCCTTGCCCCTCCCAGTCCCCTCTTCCCCCTCCTGTAGGCCCAGAGCGTGCTGGTCCGAGCCAGGACTCCCAGAGCGCCTTTACATCTTTCGCCCCCCCCCCGTCCCCCTTGTCTCTCCCCCCATGCCCCTCACATCCCCCTCCCGTCCCTCACACGCGTGGAGCGAGGAGGGAGGGGAGAAACGGAGGAGGAGGGATGAGGAGCGACGGGGAGGAGGAGGAGGAGGAGGAGAGGGAGGAGGAGGAGGAGGAGGAGGAAGAGGAGGAGGAGATGGATGAGGAGGAGGCGGAGAAGGTGGAGGAGGAGGCGGAAGAGGAGGAGGAGGAGGACTGTTCTAAACCCACGACACATCAACGATGCTGCAAGCCCTACTTTCAAGTTCCCTCGTCATAGGTCCCGACAGAAGCTTTATTTTCTTTGCGGGAAGTGCCCCATGGGAAGACAACCGTCTCTGAATATCGTGACGGAACGCCAGTCCTGGGACTTCAGCGCCGCCGCGAGGCAACGTGATTGCTGTGTCCTGGCAGTCCTGAATCGTGACAGACCGCCATTCCTGGGACGCTGCAAACTTCAAGCTGCCGGGTCAACAATGGTGAGGACGTCTCTGGCGAAACGCCTGGCCTGCCCTACCGACACGTCTGTGGGCGCGACAGGGAGGAGTGACTTATAAGAACATGGGAGGGCTGAGGAAGAAGAGTGCCGTGCGAAGCGCACTGCCATGCTGGAAGCGTTTCGGCGAAATCCCCTTCTCTGATGGCGTCTGTATCTGACCTGCTCTCTTTGGTCCAGGGGGGCCCGTCCTGGGACCGTGAGCTCGCTTCGGGGGGTGAAGAAGTGCGCCAGCACTCGGAGGTCCACGTTTCACCTATCCCGCGAGCGTGGCCCCACTCCTCTGCCTCCTCCCTCCTCTGCCTGGACCCCTGCTCACCCCGCCCCTGCCTCCACCCTCCTCCGTCTGGAAATCCCACGGGCCTTGAGGAGGAGAGGGCCACTCGTGTTTTTTTGTGACCGTGGGCATGCGATGTGCCGATACGGTCGCGCACATCGCGACCAGGGCGAAAAACCTAGAAAGCCCAGACAATATTGAAAAATATCGGGAAATCATCGGATTCATGATTTATGTGTGTTTATTTGTCCTCTCAATGGAGGATCCAGAGGAGGGCGTCCTGCATTGGTCTTCTTATCCTGCCACACGGGGGGGCCCACGGCTTCTCCAGGACCCCCGTCGCGGACGCCGCCGCGCCGTTCTGTTCTCGATGCGCCCGTGGAGCGGACGGCGCCGGCACCGCGGCAGACCCACGGCGAACCTTGCGTCCCGCGCCGAAGGAGACAGGAGCCGGCACCGCGGCAGAGCCCGCGGCAAGCCCTGCGTCCGAGGCGGAGTTTGCCTCGGTGGCCGCGGGGCCCTCCCGGAGACGGCAGGCCGCGAGCCGGAACAAGCGGCGCGGCGGCGTGGCTCTTTTCGCTCGGGATGTGCAGCGCAGGACGCTCGACGAGGCTGCTCGAGGGCTAAACTGTTCGGCTTTTTCTTCTGGCGCGCAGGCCTCTGCCGTCTGGCCGTCGTCTTGGCGGTGGCGTCAGCAGCCCCGATCAAAGTGGAGCGCGCCGCCCGCCGACCTGGGGAGGAGAGGAGGGAGCAGGAGGAGGAGGAGGAGGAGGAGGAGGAGGAGGAGGAGGAGGAGGAGGAGGAGGGAGGAGGGAGGGAGGAGGAGGAGGAGGAGGAGGGAGGAGGGAGGGGAGGAGGAGCAGCAGGAGGAGGAGGAGGAGGAGCAGGAGGAGGAGGAGGAGGAGGAGGGGGAGCAGGAGGAGGAGATGGGGGAGACGGGGGAGCAGGAGGAGGAGATGGGGGAGACGGAGGAGCAGGAAGGAGGAGGATACAGCAGGGAGGAGGCGGAGAAGGAGGAAGAGGACGACGACGAGGAGGGCGAGGAGGATCCCAGTCCTCCGCCGTCTCGGGGGGGGCCGCGAGGTCACCTGTCTGTGCGCCCTGGGCGGGGCCGTCGTGGGCTGCTTCGGCGGCTCCAGCGGGCCGCCCGCGACGTCGGTGGGGTCCTGGCGGCCGCCGCGGCGCTGGCTGCGGGGCGCGCCGCGGGGCAGGGGGGGGGCCTGACGTCCTCGCCTCGCGGCAGATCGCGACGGCAGGTGTTTTCACCAGGCTTTGTGATTGTCATGCGTATTTCAGCCTCTCCTCCTCCTTCGCCTCCGTCCCACTTCCCTTGTGTGCAGCCGTTGTGGCTCACAAGGGCCCTTGAGTCATCTGGCGCGCAGGCGACGGGCGCGCCCTGGCCCCCGTAGAAGGAAACATAACGTACTCTGTTATAGCACGGGTCCCCCTACTTGTATTTCGTATTTCGTGTTTCTCTCTCTCTCTCTCTCTCTCTCTCTCTCTTTGTATTCCATACAGTTACTCCCGTATATCCCTCAGACTTTGGCATGATTTTGCGGGATCCTGGGGGCACAGAGGGGTTTCTCGCTTCGGGATGTTTGCCAGCAGCTGCGCCTCGCTGAGGGCGTTGATCGTCCTGAACGGCCGGTTGAGGCCCGAGTTCTGGGACGAAAAAGTTAACCTCCTCGCGTCGTGCGGGAGTCGCGGCGGAGGCGTTTTTGTTATCGTCTTCGGCATTTGGGGGCCCTTGCTGGGCCCCAGGGCCGTCAACAAAATTGCAGTCAGGATGAGAGCCCCGGTCCCCAGGAAGGGGTCCAGACCTCAGGGGCCCGGTTTCGGGGGCGTCCAAGAGGGGGGTGGTGACTAGGTGGGTGTGGAGATCATGGCTGGGGTTCTGATATCCCTTCAGATTTCACGGCCCCTCTTCTTATTTGGTCGCTTCGCGCACTCCGCCGGCCCACTTCGCATCGCTGTGATGGTGTGCTCGCTCCCTGAGTGAACGGTAGGGCAAGCAGGACTGTCCTCGAGGAGATCTGTGGAGATGCGGCTCGCGCCTTGTCGAAGAGAGCCGATCGACAGACTGCCCCAGAGGGCACCAAGATGGGTCAAGAGATCTCCAGCATCATTTAGAGACGTACCTGGGTTGTGAGTCAAGGTCCTCGTGGATGTTTCTTGGAGTCTCTTCGGAGGGCTTTCGGGAGCTTCCCGGAATCAGTTTTGAAGCCTCTGGGGAGCCTCTTGGGGGCTTTTTGGGTGCCTCCTCGGGCGTCCTGGGGACCTGTTGGGGGTCTTGGGAGCCTCTTTGGGGGACTCATTGGGGGCCTCGTCGAGCCTCTTGGGCCTCTTGGGCCTCTTGGGGCCTCTTGAGGGGGTCTTGGGGGCCACTGGGGGCTTCCTCAGCGCCTCTTCGGGCCGAGAGCTCGAAATGTCTGTTCGGGTTCCCCCTCTGGGCCCCCTCTTTGAGCCATTCTGGGGCATTCTGGGAGGCCTCTTGGGCCGTCTTAAGGCCATCTGGGGCCATTTGTGGGCCCTCTTGGAGGCTCGTTGTGCCGTCTTGGAGCGATCTGGGGGCCCCTTGGGCCGTCCAGGGCGGTCGGCAGCTCGAAAAGGCGGTACCGCCAGAATTTGTCCGATAACCCAATCAGAATGAATGATGAGTGCGTTTTCGGGGCCGAGCGTCTTGGGCGCTTCGTGGGCCGTCTTTCGACCAACGTAGGCCATCTTGGAACGCTCTTGGCCTGCGGCCGCAGGGCGTGCCACTTTTTTGGCACCTCATTGGTGCGCTCGGGGGCCCCCGAGGTCGGGCTCTGAAGTTCTGGACTTCTGATCCGAACCTGCCATGACCTTGGAGTTGTTTTCGCCCGGGGACCCCCGGGGGCCGCCGCGCGCTCTCGAAGTAGAAACGCTGTGAGAACTTTCGCCGGAGATCTTAGCACGGCTCTGACCCGCTGGGCCAGTGCATTTCAATACGTCCCTTGGCACTCCCCTGGGCCGTCCACGTGCCTCGGACGCCCTCTTTGTGGACGCCCCCGCAGGCTGCGGAACAACACAGCATCGGATCCTCCTCCTCCTCATCCTCCTCGTCTTCTTCCTCCTCCTCCTCCACCTCCTCCCTCTCCTGCTCCTCGTGCATGGTTCGAGGGGGGCGCGTGCCGCCGCGGGGGCGCCGAGCCCTCGCTGCGGCGCTCGATGGGGGAGGCGCGGGGCGAGGGGGGCTGGGGGCGTAGGGGGGCGACAGGGCGGAGGGGGGGCGGAGGAGGCGCGGGGAGGCGCGGGGCGGGAGGGGGCGCCATGGGAGGCGGGGGGCGCGTGGGCAGGGGGAGGGCGGCGGGCAGGCGGAGCGGGGGGAAGGCGTGGCGAGTGGGGTCTCACACCACCCGTCGCTGCACTGACAGTGTGCGCACAGCGTGCACTGTGGCTGCGACAGTGTTCGATCGCAAAATTAGCGCTACCAGCTGCTGCTCGCGCCTGGGGGCCCAGCGCCGCCGGCTTGAAAAACGAGGGAAGGAGGGAGAAGTGGAGCGCGGGGGGGGGTGAGACGGAGGATCAAGCAGTGGCGAGGCGTCCTGACTCGCCCATGGGCTCCCCAAGGACTGCTCGAACTGTTCGTGCTGTGCTCTGCGAAAGATGCTATGAGAACGTCTCTGGCGGAGGCAGTTAGAACAACATGTGCTCGGGACGTCTCAAGCGAGAGCGCTAGTACTGTATGGAAACATACGGATGTCCATCAACGTGACTGTTGGACTTCTGAAGCCAATGTGCGAAACGGTCCGGCGAGGGCCCAACTTTCAAAACGGTTCGCACTCCCCTTGCGCAAGTGTTGCAGGCGAGCGAGCGTGCGCGGCGCCAAGGCGAGACCAATAGTTTGAAAACAGCTCGCCCTACATCCGAGGAGCTGGTGGACTGTGTTCTCAACGAGCGTGCGCGGCGCCAAAGCGAGAACCC